ATCCTTGGTAGCTGTATCCCACTGTGTGAATGCTGTTGTTTCATTTATTTTGTCTGGATTTCCAAGAGATTATAGTGAGAGCTTATTTCCATGGACATGGGAGGAGATAACTCTGTATAAATTCTTCCTGAGCTATAAAATGTACATTGCTAATGTTGACTGCTGAACATCAAAGAATATTCATTTCATTATTAACTAGAAAGAAATGTATGCTTTCAGGAAGCTTCATGTGATTTTTGTGATTGTACCTTTCTTCCCCACCTCTCCGTTCATTAAAATGAGCCATAAACCGAGAGCCTGTGGGCAGAGCATGCCTGGGTGTGGGATGATCTTGCATGGTATTCACTACTGCTTCACTATCGTGCAACTCTGGATGGGCATGAAGGGGAAAGATTTCACGTAAGGGCTAGGTTTTTGGAATAAATGAAATTTCATCTTGGGAGGGAGGTGTAGTGTGACGTCCCTATTCCAGGCGATAGCATTTATTGTTCAATGCACAAAAGAGGAGCAGGAGAAAAGAAACTTTTGAATCTGTGACATCTATGCAAGTGACTTTCTACCATAAAGTTCAGGCAAAAAAATTAACCTCACAGAAGAGTGTAAATCAATTCCCTGAACTTACATTTATGCGTAAACATAAAATGGATGAATATCATACAGATGTTGGCATAGACCAAATGTTCAAGAAATGTCTTCTGAATGGTTCCTCCAAGGTAAAAGTCCTTAGTCTGCCTCATTTGGCAAGTTATTTTATTTCTATGTCTAAATAAATCTGTATCTATCTATATCTATATCTATGTCTATGTCTATATCATCTATATGTGTATGTCAGTGCTCCCTCCTCACTCTCTCTCCAATCATTTTAACTGTGTGATACCCTGCATTTCCTTTGGTCTTGTTCTGTTATGAATACTCTAAGGTTCGTTAGCATCTGAAGAAATCCTTCAATAATTGTTTAGGAAACAAAGTTATTCTCTGTCTTATGGTATTGGTTTTTGGACTACTGAGATTGAGAAAATGTCAGATTTCTTAAGAGATGAAAGCATGTCATACATAAATGATTTGACTAGAATCAGTTATAACCTCCCTGGTTTTTAAGAACTATTTAGTGTTCTTATAATTAGAGACTAACTTTCCAGTTAATTTTCTCCTTACTTTTTCATTTGCAGTGCCAAACATCATATTAATTTGTGCTTGTGTTTGTTTGTTATGCTGGTGAGATCCAGCCCAGGGCCTTGTGCATGGTAAGCAAACATGCTACGACTGAGCTACAGTCCCAATCCCCACAATTAGCTTTATAAAATTTTTCAAAGAAAATTTAATCCAGTCCCTTGAGATAATTAGTGTGAACAGTTTGATTCATTTGCTTCCATAATTTTCTTTATACAAATACTTGAAATAGATTTACATATATTTTTCTTTTTCTTTTAAACTTATACAGACAAGATAATAGTATGTATGTTGTTCTAGAACTCGCTTTTGTTACTTAATGACAAACGTGGACATTTATATAATTTGATTTTCTAAATACATTAGCTGCCTGTTTGATTACAGGTGATGTGTCATTAGCTCATTGACTGACCTTAGCCGTTTTTGTTATCTTGTCAGTGGTGAGTGATAAAGATGATAAGAGTTAAAAGTTAAATATTAAACAAGTGTCTGTGGGCCATTTGTGTGATATTTGGGACACCATTTAGTACTAATGAGTCTTTCCTTTAGATTGAAAATTTTAGAAAGAGGTATATCAGTGCGATTTCTTTCACCAGCAGGCAGAAATGGGACCAGTGGCTGTACAAATCTATAAAACCATAGCAAGTCGTTGTGTGTAGTTATTCCCAAAGAAGTCTAAAAATAATCTTTTGGTGTAAACTGTCATTTATATCATAACATAGCTCATCCATGTCTGTGAAGTGTCATCTCCAGTAAGTACCTCCTCAGAATGCCCAGGTGCCATGGCAACAAGCACCTCACAAAAAGTGAGCTAGGCTTTTAATTGCAGTCTCAAAAAGTACATTTCAGGAAGTTTCAAAAACTACTGCACTGTATGAAGAAAAGTTATAATTATTTTAGTCATCTCATCGTGCATGCCAAGTGTATTTTTGGCATGGTTCTTAGGAATAAGAATCATGGTTTAATTTGAATGCATGTATGTTACATTGCAGAACATTATAATAAAGTTAAACAAAGTTATAGTTTATCCATATATTTTATTGTGTATGGAAATATAAGTGAAGTTAGGTGATGCTTTCTTTCATTATTCATGATGTAAGTAAAAAGCCGATTTAATTTGCTTTAAGATGACCTATCCTAAAGAGAGATGCTTAGCTACCTCTCTATATCAATTTTCCTTCTCATTTTTATTGTTGTCAAAATCAATATGCTATTTGGAAACAGCCAAATTGTTTCTAGATAAATGAGGAGCTAAGATTGGGAGAGCAAAACAAATTCAGTCTTATTAGGAAATTACTTGAACTAGGGCCCTAAGATTAAATACTTTTTCCATGGTTAGTTTGGACACTGGTCGTATGGAGAAATTCACTTGACATCTTTGATCTCGGTCCTTTACAAAGGGTAATGAAGATATGTGAGAGGTGATTCTTTTTATCCCTTTCCTCAATGATTAAAAAAAAAACTGCTTGCATGTGGTTAAATGGCATTGTGTGGGAGCATTTTAAAGTACCTTTGAAAATGAGCGTATTTATTTAACAAAACACAAATCAGGGAGAGCTGAACGAATGGTTAATTTTCATTCCTAATACAGAAAACTGTGAGCTGTAATTAAAAAAAAGTGATGAACATTTAAATAAAGATATTTAGTAAAAGATACATTGCCGTTGTTCCTCTTCAGAATACTCCTTCTGTCTTTGATCACTATTATCGCATTGTTCTGAGCACTTTCTGAAGCAGTTTATAGTAATTAAAACAGCCATGTCTTTCCTCATGTATTTTATTCACTGGATCTGGCACTGTGTGACTTCTGGCTCTTGCCCAGTAGCAAAATGACAGTGAAAAGTGGCATTTTGAGTAGGTTCTGGACATCCATCCAACCACAAAAGTGCAACTGAAAAAACTCACGAAAGGACCTTCAGATCTGCTTCAGAAAGTGCGGGAATAGCGGGACACGCATATTCCCAGGAGGGAGGAGTATTTTGAGGGGATTTAATGAGCATATGTCTTTCACTGTAAGAAATGTTTTTAAAATGCAAACATTCATTGTACTGTTGATCACACCTCATGTAAGATATAAATAGCGAGCTAGGAAATGAAACTGAGAATTGTAGCGTGCTTGGAGCAGAAAATTTATAGTAATATGTTGAAACCTGGCAAGTTACCTTGAAAACCTTAGTACTTCCCTTTCCTTCCCAACTCTGCCTCACTCCAAGGTAAACCGAAGTCTGTGACACACAGAGTCCTTATTCACTTAACAGTTGGAGATTTAATAGGTTCATAAAAAAAAAGACTGGGGGCTAACTCATCCCAGCAAAGCATTTTAAGCAGTAGACATGCTGTGGCAGAACTTTCTTTCTCTTACACGTAGTCCCAGAAAGATGTGTAGTTTGAAGATTTGGCCCAACACAGATCAGTTAGATTAGGTTTTATGAAAGATATATTTCCAAATAAGAGCCATAAAACAGGAAGTTGTACAAAAGGTCAAGGTTAGTTTTTTTTCCCCTTCCATATTTGTCTGTATTCACTTCATCCTGAATGTACACTCCGGTTGTTCTGAGTGAGATTTCTTCTGGCATCTGTCGTTTGCCCTAGGGTTTACCCCTTGGCTAGTGTGTGGACAGCCAGGCCTATTGCCCTGGTGGTCGGTGCACACCCATGAGTGTGAAGGAGGAGGAAATACGAGTTTTTTAAGTGGATGGTGACAGTCTGTGTTCCTTCCTTTTGGGGAAGATTCTCTAGGAAATTTTGTGGACCTCAATCTTAACTGTAATCCTTTTGTGTGTTACCAGGCTGTCACAGGAGCCAAACAGCTCCCTGTCTTGGCTTTTATGACCCAGAATCTAAGATCTTGAACTTTGTCTCTTTTGACATGCGCTGTTCACAGAGATAAGGCTCCAGTCTCCCTTTAACTAAGGATCTGCTTCTTTAGATGACGGTTTAGCTCTCTTGAGAAAACACAGTAGAAGTGTCATTATGCTTTTAAAGACAAGCAATTAATGGCAACTGATCTAATACTGATTTTACCTGATGAAGGGAATGTTTTTGCTGGAAGCAAAAATGAACTTTCCCTTCTTTATATTATACACATTGTCAGGCTCAGGAAGTTAAGGTGTTTCTTTGGAGGAGTATTAAAAACTCTAGGGATGCTCCACATTTTAAGTGTTTTAAGCGGGGAGAAATAATAAATGATTGCTTACAGATACGTAGTAAAGTAGTTTCTCAAAAATGAGCTGTGAAAAAAATACAGCAGGGAAGAGAAGTAAGGTCATGATAATCATAATATCATGAGAAGCACACATATTTAGGAATCCCGTATACTTAGTACCTGGGACTGAGAGTATTTCAAAGCTATCCGGAAGACAGGATTTGAAAACTGTGTCAGTGGAAATACCTTTGAGTTGAGTCTCACTTCGCACAGAATGCTGGATTCTTGGGATCATTTTGGAAGTTCTAAACTTGAGGCTAGGATAATGTAAAGTTTGTATCTATGTCCATGATAATACGCAAAGAGGAAGAACTTTGGCGTTAGGATGTTTTAACTGAGAGGTTTTGTAAAGCCAATGATCTTTCATTACTTATTTGTTTAAAATACAAGTATTGACTGACAGTGTTTGAGTTCATTGACTGGGTCGTGTTACTGCGGTTCGCTTCAGCCGTACTGTATTGGAATCAAGAGTATGCATTATGATTCCCGGCTCACTCTGAAAATATTCTGTTTCTTTTCCAGTTTGAGTACTTGAGTTTTCTCTCTGAGCCTTGTAATCATGATTATAAAGTTTATCAGATAAACAGACCACTCTGTGTGACTTACATGGAACTATTTCTTTCAGCTTCTTGCCTGAATTCATCAGTGGGGACTTTGATTCTATTAGGCCTGAAGTCAGAGAGTACTACAGTGTTCAGGTAAACTATAAACTCTGTCATAGTCGAGATTTTCCGCATGTCGTTGCTTCTCCTGTTGTTCCTGATTTTCTCAGTCCCTAGGTGCGGACTGAGAAATTTTTTGTCTGGTTCCTTTTGTTTTACTTGTTACAAATATTAGAGAATGCATGCAAAATGGAAATTTTAAAATGACATCTAGGCATGGAGTCGTGGAGAAATTCTGTCACTATCAGATGAACATCAGTCCATCCATTAAGTATGTATAGCTTACATAAATTCATTTAATAACATTCTATTCTTGCCTACATCCTCTTTTTTTGTTACACATTTTTCACAAATACTAAATTTAATGAGTATACATTATTGTATTAAGCAATTCCCAATTGATGTACGTCTGTTTATTTCTTTGCATGGTACTCTGCACCAAAAGCTTCATTCCAAGTAAGTTTTCCTAACAGTGCATAATTGTGTATTCCTAGAATTTTAAAGTCAAAGTATTTTTCTACAACAGGTAGTTTTCTTGAAACTCTCGTTACTCTGTTCTGAATAAAACTATTCATTACAAGGTAAGACTAATAATAGCCTCCACCTTATTAAGGTATTCATTTTGTCACTATTGTTGTGCAAATCGTCCAGAGATCCTTGCCACTTAAGAACATAAAAATGATCTAATTGGGGATTGTGGAACTGCATAGGAATGAATTAATGTAATTAATAATTCAGGGTTTCACTGGTTTTAGAAGACAAAGCAGAGTTTTTAAAGTAAAATTATAGCTTTAGTAATTCTTCTAGCCACAACACCATCATCTGTATTATTCTAAGTGGTACTGGCAAATTACACATATTTTTAAGGGAAGAGCATGTATTGAGATCATAAAACTTTAAGTCTTTTATAAGGCTGCGGGAGAAATGAGAGATTCAAAAAGCGGAGAAAGAGAAACCTTTTCAGAAAAAAGACAGGAGGAAATGAGGAAGGAAAAGGAAAGAGAATAAGATAGAGAAAAATTGAAAAATGAAGACATGATCATAGGTGGGAGAGAGAGGTGCCCTGGTTATAAAGTGTAGGCTTTTGTGATGTGCAAATTCTGGAGTTGGCAATGGATGCAGAGCTGTGCGCATCCCATCTGCCCAGCAGCTGATCAGACTTTCTTTCGGCGAATGAAGACCGTTCCCAAGTCAGCGTTTGATATTCATGCTCCATTACTTTAACATTGGCACGTTTCTATTCATTCCCCACAGTCTCACTTCTCATTAACTCCGTACCTCCACCTTATTGGGATGCAAAGCCTCAGCCTTGCTTACAATGCAGAGTTTTGCAAATGCATAGATATTAATCATATTTTCGAGAGCCGGGGAAACAGCGGGAGAAGCAGGGACAAGCATACTCAAAAACAAGTTGAAGATCTGGCCAGATGTGACTTATCTTCCTGTCTCTTAATGTTGCTGGCTTGCCAAAATTGGGAGTGCCAATGCAATCATTCCTGTTAGAACCAGGAGAGGAGGTGCGAAGCTTTTCTTTTCTGGGTGCAGTAAAATGAGGGTCAAGGGTAAAGCAAAAATTTGAGTTAATACCACCTGACGGATTTTTCCTGTACATATTTCCTGTTTTGCTTGTTTTTATTTAATAACTGTTTTGTTTAAGAACTGTATCTGTTTATTAAGGATTAGGGATTTTTTTGTTGTTTGGGTTTTTTTCCAGTATCAGGATTCGAACTCACGACCTTGCGCTTGCCAGGCAGGCGCTGTGCCGCTGAGCCAAATCCCCAGCCTCAGGATTAGGTTTTTTATCAGTACATGTTTGCAGTGCATAATGTCTACATTCCTTGTGTGGAGTTGGTGCCTGTGTGTAGCACACCTTAATTTCTGTTTTCGTACCTTTTCCCTCCCCACCATTCCATCTCTTAATCCCCTTTCCTTTTGAGAGAGATCTATCTTCCAACTTCCTGTTGCCTGTCTTTTTATTTAGCTCTTTATTTATACTTTGGGTTTCGCAAATAAGAGAAGCCGTGTGATACTCAAACTTGTGTGTGTGCGATTTATTAGTTGTAAAAGTAAGATGTAGCCAAATCTTCTAATTTTTAAAGTGCGTGGAAACTTGTAGGTTGGTCGAATGCAGTCCGTGTTTTACAAGTATCAATGAGTGTTGAACTTGGTGCTTTTGATCTTTTAGACCATGTTCCTAAGGGCACAGATGATACCTTTTATATAGTTAATGTGCCCTATAGGGCACTGGGTGAGTGTTTGGCTGTAGTTTCGATAATGATGATAATTACAAGTTAATGCAACATTACACACGATTCATGCAAGCCATTATCTCCAAGTTCAGCAGTCTTTAAGTTTCTCTTTCACAAATGAATCAAGGGTATCTGCACTTTCAGATTCACCTGGTCTCGGTTTCCAGTGAAGCTGAAAGTAGGGCCATAGTGAAGAAAGTAAAATGAAGAAATTTAGAATGGCTAAAGTTTGTCAAAATTATGAAGTAGACTGTAGATCCAGCAGTTAATCATGCACAGCGGTGAACTTTGCAACTGATACACAAATTCTAATTTACTTGAAAAAGTCTTTTTCAGGTAGCTGTAAAATTTTTTGTTCTCTTTTTCACCAATCTATCTTTGTTCTTCACTGCCTGGTTCACTAACATTAATTCAGAATGAGGAATGTCTCCTATAGATGTTCCCCCTTGGTGTTTTATTTTATTTTTCTCATTTTTCTGGGTCATTCAATCTTTTTTTGATTCAAGGTTAAAATCATCTGTTTACATCTTCATAGTTATTCTATCCATCATGCCCACGTGTGTTTTAGTTTCCTGAGAATTTCAGGAGAAAGTACACTATCCTGTACCTCCTAATATTCTTTCTTTGCTTGATAGTCTGTGGAATCTTCACTGGATATAGGAAAGAGAATTTAATAGCATGCTTCCTGTGCTGGAGGTATAGCTCTGCACTAGAGTACTTTCCTGAGACTCACAAGGGTGTGGGTTTGCCTCCTAGCACTGAAAAACAACAACAACAACAACAACAACAAAAAAACAAAATCTAAAAGACTTCCACCACAATTTCTGAGTATTTAGGAGGTTGAAGAACTAGTTATGATAAAGTTACAAAATGACACAAGTTTTTCATACATGTAGGCATTCAGGATAGGATATGAAAGATATGTGGTGAGCATAATAAAACATAATAGAATCTAAGACATGACAGAAATTAAACAGTACTTTTAGCACAGTTTTCTCTTCGAGTGGAGAAAACTGAAGGGCCCAGAACCCAATGGTAGAGCTACTGGAGACAGCGCTGCTGTTGTCCGTGTTTTCTGTCATGTGAATTTTGCTGAAGCTTAGACTCAGTTGCTACTACTGCTTCTCAGTAGACAGCATCTTTGGCTTTGGAGGAAATAAGTTGTTCCTCATGCACGGGAAGTAGTATCTCTGAGAATAGAATGAATGCTGGTTTCCACCAACAATGTGATAAGAATCAGCGTGGTGATCATATACTCTGCCTTCACATTTCCAACCTACCCTCCAATGCCTCTCATTTCTGGGGCAAAAATAAAGATACAAGAGCTGGACCAAAACCTACAGTACCGATAAATTATTACGTAAAAGGAATTTTCACAACATAAGCTTGAATAACATAGATCATTGAAGAACAAAGGATTTTCTAACAGGAAATCAGCAAGATTATTTGGGTGATCACTAAATATAAGAATGCGTCTTTATGTTGTAAGGGCAGTGTTTTTGCTTTCTGGAAGATGTTATAATCAACACAAGGTTATGTTCGAGACAGTGTGGTAAAACCACACTGTGTAGTCAAAAGTCAGAAATAAGACTCCGTATCTAACCTATACTTTTTCTTCTGTTAATACTCAATCAGTGATCAGGAATACTGGGACACCCAAAACCCAGCTAGAATTGCAGTAACAAAGACCTGATTGTCAGCATTACAACAAACCCCAGGATAACTGGTGAAGGAGACTGCAAGAATGCTTAAGTTGATACTGTGCCACCAATTTTCAGCTACAGATATAACAAGGTGGTTGCAATGCTATAATCTTAAGCAGCAGAGAAAGAGAGACAGAGCCAGTGAGGTTCTTCTCTCTTCCTTTTCACTGTCTCTTTCCCTAAATCGGGAAAGTTTAGATTTATTTTAAAACAAGTTACATAAATTATTGCAGAATATCTTTCACTAGGTAGTGTTTCTTAATGCTGTTTTCTCATTGTCATTTCACAGTGTTAAAGCTGTATGCAAATGTTTGAAGCCTTTTCTCAATGGACAAAAATAAATGGACAAAATAAATAAAGCCTTGTCTCAATGGACATCTGAACTTTTAAAACCAGTGTTCCCTTTTTGTAAATATGAAATACTAGAAAGCAGCCACATGAGAACAGGAAACAGCTCAGGATTTTTCCTCATCACAGTGACTATTGCTGTGTAAGTATTTAGGTACACTGTAGGAAACTGAGGGTGGGGTTTCAGAGAGCTTTTCTCAAAACGTGGCTTCTAAATGGCTAGGGTGATTTCTTTTCATAAATGGACTGCTATTACACAGAAAATGCTGATATTGTAATTCCAGTTTAAAGGTGGACAGTGATTCTCAAATGGTGAGGATGAGCAATGGACAAGGTGGATAAGAAAGTATAACAATACTTAACCTTAGGTATTAACAGTGCACATTTCTTTTTATTTTAAAGAAAAAAATAAAAACAATGGGACAAAATTTCCAAATAAGATAACAGGAAAGTAACAATTGTTAGTACATTGCATATTGTTACCTTTAAAGTACTTGCTCATATTATAAGATACAGGCATGAAAAATTGATCAAACAATAGAGTCATAAACCTTTTTAGTGAACTAATAACAATTAGTAGTATAACTATCTTAAGTGTCTTGCATGTATATGTAATTTTTTTCTTTTTCCTTTTCCCTTACTTCTTTTATCCTTCCTCCATCCTTGTTTCTTTTTTCCTTTTGAATGTTGTCTCCCCATTTCACAATATCTAGTGTATATTTTGGACCTTATTTAT